ATCAGAGAGAATAAAATCTAGTGTTGCATGAATTTAGAATGAAATACAGTAACATTTCAGAGATCCCTTGTAACTCACTCCTTCCCTCCCTGCCAGAGTTGATTTTGACTGAGAGCAGCCCAATTGTAAATCCTACTGTGAACCTTAAACCTTCCTGTCAATCTGGACTGCTGACTGCCCCATCTTTCTCCTGAAGAAGCTGGTGGGTTTAACTAGCAGTCACTCCCGGCAACAATAGCAAAGTTCAACAAGGCAGCAAACACCACATACGGGCGAGGTTGTGGAGAGATTGGAACCCTTATCCACTGTTGGTGGGAGTGTAAAATGGTGCAAACACTGTGGAAGGCAGCTTGGTGCTTTCTCAACAAGTTGGAAAGAGAAATAGCATTTGACCCAGCAATTCCACTACAGGGAATATACCCTAAAGAAACCAGAGCCGCCACTCAAACAGATGTATGCACACCCATGTTTATTGCTCCTTAATACAGTTGCAAAGAGATAGAAGCAACCCAAGAGCCCATCAATAAATGGATAGAAAAACGATGGTATAGTCACACAATGGAGTACTATGTAGCAATGCAAAACAATGAACTTGTAAAGCTACACAACATGCGTGACCCTGGAGCGAAATATGGTGAGTGAAATATCTCAGTCACAAAAGGACAAATACTGCATAGTCCCATTGTTATAAAGCAGGACTGATATGGGGGGGTTGGGAGGAAACACGTAAGAGTAGATAGATAATGAACATTGCATTGGAACAGGTGAGAGAATAATTTTAAAGGAATATATGATTATGCATTGTATGTATGAAAACAGTTTGGAATAAGAGGTACATTGTAAAGTAGACTGGGGGGGGAATCATAGAAAAGTATCTTCATGACCTTAGGGCAGGCAAAGATTTCTTTAAAACAAGCCAATAAAAGACTAGTAAGAAAGAAGCTGACAAACTTGACCACATTAAAATAAATGTGCAAACAGAGCAAGGGAACACTACATAGTTTAAAATTAAAGTGTGCATAAAGTGTGTCCTCTCTCTGAACCTAATCTATACGCTGAGCAAATTATTTGAGAAGCTGGACTCTATGAAGAATGTGGCATCAATATTGGAGGAAGATTCATCAATAAGCTATGTTATGTAGATGACACAACCTTGTTTGCTTAAAGTGAGGATTTGAAGCATTTGCTGCAGAAGATGAAAGAATCCAGCCTTTAATACAGATTGCCTCTCAATGTCAAGAAAACAAAAGTTCTCACCTGTGGAACAAAAAGCTCCATCATAATCGATGAATAAAAGATTAAACATGTCAATGGTTTCATCTCATTTAGATTTACCATTAACATCCTGGTATCAGCAGTCAGGAGATGGATTGCACTGGTAACGTTTTACAGTCAGGGACCTCTCCAAATCATTGAGCAACGTTATCAGTTTAGGGACTTATTTTTCAGTTTGTGGCCGATTCAGAACATGGTCTTTTCCATCACTTGCTATGCATCTGAGCGCTAGACAGTGAGTAAGGATGACAGAATTTATGCCTCTGAGCTGTAGTGTTGGAGAAGAGTACCGAATATCCCATGGTCTGCCAAAAGAACAAACAGGTATGTCTTGAAGAGGGTGCAGCCAGAGTGATTCTTAGAAGGTGATCAAACTTCATCTCATATAATCCAGACATGTTGCTAGGAGAGGCATTCTTTGGAAGGGGATTAACATGCTTGGCAAGGTCAGTGGTAGGGAGGGAGGAAGACCCTAAATCAGACAGATTGACACAGTGCCTGCAGAAATGGGTTCGAGTATGTCAGAGTATGAGGACGGCACAGGACAAGGCAGGGTTTGGAGCTGTTGTTCACAGAGTCGCTGAGTTGCACCTACTAGCAACTCACCTTCAGAAGTTGGTAACCGGTTCACTGTAGCTCTGCCTTATTTCTGTGACTGTTGGACTAAGGTGTCTAATTTAGAGGATTTTCTAGAACTGGCATTACCTACTAATGTGAAATTTTTAGAAATATATAAAAAATGAGGACAGGTTTTCACTAAGACTTGTTTATATGTATCCATAATACCAAGTCAAACTCACTGCCATCAATTCTGACTTAGAGGCCCCAGCCCTATAGGACAGTCAAAGACACAGCCTCTGGGTTGGTACTGAAAACTCCACAGGCACCAGATCTCTCATCTTAATCCTTCTCTGATCACGGTACAGCTGGAACCGACTCACAGCTGACATGGGTTTTCAGAGGCTGTTAAGTCAAGGGAGGAGACTGCCTATCTTTCTCCTGTGGAGCAGCAGGTGGATTAAAACCAGTGGCCTTTGTTTTAGCAGCGCAAGTCCTTATCCACTACACCACTAAGCTCCCATTTTTCTCAATAGTAACCGAAGAACTGAAAAACTCAAACATCCTGTGACAAACTGAATAAAGGCACTCTTCACCAATGGTGTGAACGTATTACTTCCCTTGGCAAAGGGACTGTGGTGGAGGGAGGGCCTTGAGACAGACAATTATTCTGGATTCTCTGAGCTGACCCATCATGTGGGCCCTTATAAAACGGAAGTATGAAGGGTCAGGGTCAGAGGGAAGGCGACAGAAGCAGAGTTGATGGTGTGTGAAGATGATTAAGGGGTCAGACTGCAGGTGTCTCCAGAGTAAAAAAAAAAGAGAGAGAGATGGCTTTTCTCCTCCCTGGAGCCTCTTGGAAAAGAAAACCCATCCCTGCAGAACTAGCTCAGTGGTAACTGGTTTTACACTTCTGAATGGTAAGATAATAAATTTGGTTTTAAGTCACTAAATCTAGATCATTTTAAAGCTGCAGTAAAAAAAATATACAACCATCACATAGTGTAGAAGATCAATTTATATTTTCACAATGGAGTTATACTACCATGAGAATGAGTAACCCCAGCTACATGCCACAAATGCTAAGAGTATAAAGCATAAAAATGGACCCAATCTGTGGGGCTAGAAGGTCACGTGTGGCTCCTCTTGGTGGGACTATTAGCGGGAACATGGGGAGCTTCTGGTCGCAGGGGTATGTTTTGTTTCTTGATTGGGTTGCTGGGTACATGTGTGCTCATTGTGTGGTATTTCAAGCCATACACTTGTAACTTGTACATTTTATGCTCCAATAAAAAATTTACTTGGAAATAAATTAAAAAAAAAACAAACCAAAACCAAACCTACTTTAAAAACAACTTTCCTTCCTTGCAAAAAAATTGGTACAAAAATAGATTTCAAGTTTAAACACAGTAAAATGCAAAGTTTTCAGAAAAACAGACTCTCATCAGGAACCATTACAATAATTTCAGGTAACAACTAAATTAATTCCTACTATACACCCAGTGTCACATACACACATGCGTGCACTGGACTGGTCTACACATGCATAAACAGTAGCAGATCTCAAAGTGTCTCAGGAAGCAGAGTTTGCAATGTTCTTTCTTAAAAGTTTAGCTGTTTCAATGAGTACTAGTTTAGAAAAACCAGTCTCTGCAAAACTTAATTGCAGAACTTTCGCTGGACTAAAGATTTTATCAGTCGCATTTTAAACCTATATTTTAACAAATAAAACTTTTTCATGCTCATAAACACAAGTTTCTTCTACATGGAAAGAAATTGTTCCCCTATTTTTAGCATTTATATTCAACTATAATTAATCAAATAGCATCATAACACTAAATAAATTTTAAAGTTCTAACAAAGGATTATGCTAGATAGTGCATAATGTTTTCTTTAAAAACCATTTGATGTATATAGTGTCTGAGAGTTAACAAACTGAATGTAGGACATGGAAACCGATTATTTCTCCCAATTGTATGAAATGACTCTAAGCCCAATGCAGAGGTGTTCCTTTGTTAAACATCAACAAAAAGCTCAAATTGTGCTCCAGAAGGTTTTAAAACAAGCACTAGAAAGTTTCAAAGCCATCTAACTGTTAACAGGTGTTCTGGCCGTGAGAGAGTTGCTAAGGGTCCGTGTACTGGCCAGGTGTTTAGCACTGCTGCTTCCCATTAAAGAACAATAAAACACTGTATTTTAACCTCCCAGGAAGCGTGATATAAGATTCTGCAGTCTGAGACACGCTCAGGGAGAAAACGTGCTCAAAAAAAGCAAACTCCCCAAATAAGAAAACTTATGAAAAAGCCAATCAAGTATTCACCTGTCTCTTAGAAGCTAGATCAGAATGTCTACCAAATCTTATCACTATCATAAATACAAATTTAAATAGCAGAAAATGCAATAAACTATGTGAACCTGAATGCAGAGAATAAATACTTTATTAACTGATTACAGTTGAAAGTCACAAACAAAAAAAGGATATATTAAGGCAGAGACATATACATATAGACAAATCCAGAGACTGTTACTCTTTACATTTTAATAACCTCTGCATTTTTCTTTTACACATTTAGGCAGTGTGCTTTCCTTTCTTTCCAGTTAAAGAGACAAATTTTGGCCAATATTTCTAAGCCATATTTTAATGACAACATGTAGGGTCATAGACTGGACAATGACTAGTGTATCAAACGCAGACCGTTTTCTCAGCAGATCCCATGTGTGGTATACATTCTGTTTGCATTCGCTTACTGTGGTGTGCAAAATTCTGACAATTGATCATTTTTGCTCCAGTAAAATACAGAATTTTTAAATGATTGTAAAATAACCTTGGATGTCCACGTCGGTCAAATGCCCAAACTGCTTCATACTTTCCCTTCCTTAAACCTTCTTGTCTTTTTTAAAATAGCCTTTAGGCTATGATCTGTATTTCAGTTCTAGAAATCTTGAATTTTTCAAAATACCAAAATGAATTCCTTACGCAACATGGCAACGCGACCTCCAATTCTACATCATGTAGAACTTTTTTCCCCCCTGTATGGCTCCCTTTTATAAAAAAGTGGCAACAACAAAACAAAGAAACAAAAACCCCCCAGACATGAATTTAGTCCATTTGAAAAAGCACTCCAGCTCCCTACTTCACTCCTGAAGGAAAAGGCAGAGGCAAGTTGACATTATCCCAAAAAATTGAATGGCTTTATTTGGTATCTTCAAGAAGCTTCTCCTTCCGTTGGGGATGTGGGTGTTGTAGGAGAAACAGTAACTTGTTTCCGTGCAATTCTGTCCAGTTCTGCATGAACGTCTGATAGGACAGGCTTCTGGCCTACGTTGTGGGAAAAGAAAACAAGATTGAGGCGTCATTAAGATTTTTCTCACAAACAGCTTTTTACATTAAAGTTATAAATGGTTTTACTAATTTTATCTAAATTGTACAGGCATCCTAAATTTCTAAAGAAATTACCTTCTTTTTAGTTAAATCGTTATTAAACAGAAGACTAGTACTTTTACTATTTAATCTCATACAGAACTCTAATCAGGAATTTTCAAGCTGTGGCAAGGCCATGAAGAGAAAAGCAGCCCAGGAGTGAAGACTGTTCTGTGTCTTCAGTGAGGTGCACACAGCCGTTCCAGTTCCCACTCAACAACTTGGAGGCAAATGACACTGGTCAGTCTTCATTCCGTGTGATCATTCTCAATCTTCCTATTCTAATTATTCTGTTTCCCTAAATCTCGATTCCCTGCCCTTTTACATCTTTAAAAACTGTTTACTTTGACCACTGAGTGTAAATTATTTGCTTAAAAAAACAAAACACCCAAACAAACAGTGCACCAAAAGAGCTCTAAAGTCACAAAACCAGGAGAACAGGATTCACAGATGACATTCTCTGTTTTGTTAAAAAGGAGTGAGGGGCCAGTTTCTGTTCAAATCTCTGAGTCCTGCAGTCGCGACCTGTCCAGTCTGTGTTTTGTTTTCAGGAATCTGAGGTTCTAGTCTGTGTTCTTCTCCCCTTCTATGAGGGTCTATTTATTGTGGCCCTGAGCAGAATCGTAAGGAGGGACAGCGAAGCAGCATGTAGGTTTTAAAAAAATTCTTTTATCTTTGTTGAAAGTTTACACAGCAAATCAGACTCCCACTTAAGAAACCGCACTATGGCGAGCTCTGATGGCCTAGTGGCAAGAAGCTGCACTGCAATTCCAGAGGTGCGCGGTTCAAATCCACCAGATGCTCTGGTAAAGAAGGGACAGTCTCCTCCTGTACCAGTCAGATCTCTGATTTGACGGTACACACAAAAAATTTTAAAAAAAAGAAAGAAAGAAACGGCACTACAATCCCAAAGGCATGGTCTGAATGCTGCTCCATGCGAGAAGGATGCCTGATTGCCCTCAGTGGGATTTACTGCCTCAAACACCTGCTGAAGATCAGCGATGGGTTGGTTCTGACACAACAACAACAGTATCTAATAATGAAAAGACAAAACCTAGTTTAAAAAATGGGCAAAGGAGCTCCCTAAAGAAGAAATTTCAATGGCACAGGAAAGGTTGCTCATTATCAGCCACGAGGGAAATGTAAATCAAAACTACGAGGGGACAGGGCTTCACCCTGACTAGGGTAACTGTAAGCAACGAGGATACAAAGTGCTGCCCGAGACGCGGAGAACCGAGGACCCAAGGACCGAGCCAGTGCAGAACGTCAGCAGTGTTATCAGAGGACCCGGCACCTTCACTTCTAGAAACATACTCGGAAGCCATGGAAGCACACGGGCACACGAGAAGACCTGTGTGTGAGTGCACAGGAGCATTCTTCCTAACTGCAAAAATGCAAAGAACCCAAACCGCCAACAACAGACAAGGGACAAATACGTTACACTCACACCTCAGTTCCTGCTTTTGTTGTCTGTGCTGTCTCCTACAACTCAGTGACCCTCTGAGTAACAGAGCTGACCTTTACCGTCCCCTGCACTGTCCTGACACCTGTGTGCTCCGGTTCTCCTCTGTGACCCTCTACCATTCTCAGCAGGAAGACTGAGGACTTGTCCAAGAACTGGTCTCTCCAGAAAACATGCCCAAAGAATGAGAGACAAGTCTCACCCTCCTTAACTTTAAGGAACATCCTGGTCACAATTCCTCCAAGACAGAATTATTTGTACTCTTTGCAGCCTATGGGATATTCAGTACTCTTTTTCAACTGAAGTACTCTTTTTCAACTGAACATTCAAAGCCATCAAAGTTTCTTCCGTCTTCCTTATTCACTGTCCAACTTTCAGATGCACAGAAAGCAAATGATAACACCACAGCTTGATCAAGCACACCTTAGGCTTCAATTATTACTAGGTTTATTATTCAGCCATTAAAAAAAGTACACACTGATGCAGGCTATCATATACACAAATCTTGAAAACAATGGGCTGACTCAGAATTGGCAATTCACAGAGACGAAGGAAGTGGTTCTTAGAGGTTATCAGGAGGGAGCAGAGGGGGCAGGTGGTGCAGCAGTGAAGGGCAGGATTTAAGGCTTCATATTGGGAAATGAGAATGTTTTAAACTTATATTCCAGTTTACTAGATACCACTCACTGAGTTAAACCATTTAAGCGAGTTACCATTATGGTATCTCAATTCTCCCTCCTTAAAGCTCTTTGCTTCTATTCTGGACAACCTTACCTGACTTTTTGGAGGACGGAGGTAAGCCACTGCTTCCAGCTCCAGCCCCACCTGCAGGACTCCCTCCCCCAGGGCCTCCTGGAGTGCCAGTCTTCTTACTCAGCAAGCTATTGAAGAAATTTGCCAGGACCCCTTCACTTGTGGCTCCAGCTATAAAAAGAAATGCTCCCACTCAGTCATAAGTTTCCATACATTACGATGAAAATAATTACACACAAAAAAACAAGTGTTATACTTAAATTTAAGAGCTGTACATTCCAAATTCAATTAATTTCAGCTTGGTAATTATTAAAAAATAATTGGAAAGTTATTGTTAAAAGGCTAAGACCATTTTAAACAAGCAGATGTTAGATGCAATTATCTTCCCCTTTAAAAGGGATTTTTCAAAAATATGACTAATGAAAAAATATCTGCATCAAGGATTGTGAAATGTTACCTGATCCTATATGAAAACCAGCAGAGGTTCCCTAGAGATAAAAGGGCAATTCAAAGAAGGGAACTACAAATGGGAGGGAAACACCGGGGGAGTGGGGAAAACTTATTAGTAATTCAAGAATGCCGATTAGGGTGTGGGAAAATGACAGCATGTAACACTGATGAGATGCAAAGCTGAGCAATCTATCTAAACAACAATGTCAGAGGTTTAAAATGTATACCTTCTAGTCCTTCTTACAGCAATTATTTCTAGAGAGAACTATTACACATATAGTCTCTTCATTTAATTGAAGTTTACCCTAAAACAACTAAATCTATTACAAAACATTAAAAACACCAACAAAAAAAAAGATGCATGTATCATGGATAGAGAACGTTAACAACGTACAACAGTTTAGAATCTGATCTGATCAACTACGAGATGGTATCTACAGAGATCGGAGGGCACCGCACAAAATCAAAAGAGCTAAAGTAGAATTCTAGGTACGTTTCTTTTCTCTGCAAAACAGTCTTGTTTTCTACAAAAAAGAAGAAAAATATACCTTTCATGTTTGGATCAATTTTTTTTGACCCCGCAGGGATGGGTGACACGCTGGCAACATTGGACGACACGGACCGGCTTGGCGTCCGGGGGGAGCCTCCGGGAACTCTGGGCGAGGCATCCTAAGAAAAATCAGGGAAACCACAATTACAAAGACCTAAGTGTTTCAATTTCACAAAGTTATTATTTTAAAAGAAATGACTTTGCAACTGCCCACATACTGTGAGACATTAACAGAAATGGTAGCCATGGGTGTCCTCACTGCTACAGAATACTCCAGACCTAAACATTTTAGAACACTACTTTTTCTTTCCATGGAAAAAGAATGCATAGAGAAATGATGAATGACTCAAAGTATAAGCCTGAGGGTCAGATCTGGGTTCCAGCCCAGACCTCTGTCCTACCAGCTGAATCATCTCAAGACAAGCCACTACCACTTCCAAAGCTTCCCTTCCCAATCTGTAAAAGAGGGTTAAGAGCAGAACTAGCCTCACAGAGTTCTTGAGAATTTGTGAATGCACGGAAATGGCTCGCCACAGCTGACACATAATATTTGCAAAATAGAACTTTACATGAGTTAAATATCCAAGAAGGAAATAAACGTCATCTTTCAAAACTTCACAAAACCAAAATCTAGATTTCCAAGTTCGGGTTTACATTTCAGACACACACACAGACACACACACACACGTCCACAGGGAAGGGGGAGAAGGGGATAAGGCGTGACACGCTCTCTTCTGTATCGGAAGAATGCTGTCAACTCGGTAATACTGACCACAGGCCTTCCAGCGGCAGTTGGTGGCTGTTTTGCTAAGAGGGACTGCAGGGGAAAAAGAAAGAATTCTAGTTTAGACATTCACCGTGTGTACTGCTGTACTCTTAATGAAAAATGTGTCAAGAACAGTTTATCCACCAGTAATTTCTGCCAATACAAATACGTACCTGAAGCTTCATAAGAAACACCTGGTCATCCTCCGCCACAATCTCCTTCTCATGCACAAACTGAAATGAGCAATGCACAAATGCGGTTTAATATACTGTGCTACTCTCTAGATTAGAGGAATTACAAACTGGCTCAGTAATAGGAACATCACGTATAGTATTCACACGGGTGAACTGTCCACCCACGCTCACACAGCAGCCGGTAACTCTCTGAAATGATGTGAAGAGTCTAGATCTCCTCTACCCAGTAACAGCCACTCATCACCTGTGGCTAAGCACTCGCTATGCGGCCGATATCACAAAGGAATGACAAAAGCCACATGTGGTCAGTGACTGCTGTGTCGGACGCTGTAACTCCTGAGGCCACACGCACGTTCCTATTATGTATCAACTCGCTAAGCAACGGAGTACTGTGTCCTACGTCACGGAAAAGCAACGGAAACGGGGAAATAGGAATAACCAGCAACAGCTCGGGGTAGAAGTTTGTAAAGAGCAGCAGTAACTGCCTCCAGCTTCTCCTCACGCTGTGCGGCTCCTCCCACGGACGTGACGGGCTGGGCCACCAGGCCTCCCGTTCCTCACCAAGCGCTTACCCACTGCGCCACCAGAGCTCCTTCAGGGCCATCCTTTTAAACAGCTAGTGGAGTCTATGACGTCTACTTCAACTCTTCACTGACTTCCTATCTCACTCAAGACTAAAACAAAATGCAAGATCCCTACTGCAACCTCGGGACGAGGCCTCACTGCATTTGAACTCCGTTCTCACTCCAGCTCCGTCCCAGCCTCTCCGGACAGCCCTCTTCACTGGCTTTATTTTCACAGTATCATCATCACTGGACAGATGGCCCGAGGTTTATTATTAGCATCATCTACTTAGGACCTAGTACCTCAATATGTACTGGTGGTTTATTATTAGCACCACCTCCTCCTCAGGTAGGGAGCTCTGCTGGCTCAGTGGTAAGGAGTTGTGCTGCCAACCTGAAGGTGTATGGTTCGAATCCACCAGCTGCTCTGAGAAAGAAAGATGGGCAATCTCCACCCAGGCGATTGACAGCCTCTGCAAACTTGCAGGAGGGTTAGCTTTGAGTCGGCTCCGACCTGACAGCACAATAACTACAACCTATTAAGTAGAACAGTGCCCGAGTCATACTCCATAAATACTTATGTCTGACTGACAACATAAAGCACGAGTGAGTTGGCAGGAGACTGGGACCCGATGGCTCTTGTTTTTGGAGGCATACAGTTCATTAAGAGCCGTCCAAGCCAAATACTGGAGCTCTGCTGGTTTACTGGTGGCCCGAATCTATCAGCCTCTCTGCGGGAGAAGGATGGGCAGTCTCCTCCCGTGTGATTTACTGCCTCTGAAAACCGGCGGGAGGGGTCAGCTAAGGGTTGGTTCCAACTCGAAGACGACAGTGATGTAGTGGGGGAGCTCTGGTGGTTTAGTGGGAAGAAACTGTGCTGCTAACACAAAGGTATGCGACCTGACTTCACCCAGCCGTCCACGGGAAAAAGAAGAGCAATCAACTCCTCGGTAATTCACTACTTTTGAACACCCCTGGCGGGTCTCCTATGGGTTGGTACTGACTTGACAGTACACAACAACAACAACAACAAAATCAAAGGAAAACAATTTCTTTTTCACCTGACGTACTTCCTATTATACTTTTCTAATTATACACAAATTAAGCCAGACATTCTATGCTGTCATAGGTTAAATTGAAATTATTTTTCCTAAAACACATGTCCAAATTAAAAGCCAGTGAGAATTATCACCTACAATGATTCTTGTTATACAACTTAACAGAAACACCTGTATCTAACTATAAGCTATCAAACACCCCTTAACATGGAATCAGGACAGATCAAGAAGAGTACTTTGTGGAACTAGATTTTTCAGTCATGAGAAAGGCAAGCTGCAGTTACAGTGAAAATGAAATTTAGGAATTGGGGGCACTCAGACAACTGTGGGACCCTGGCTGCGCTCTGGTTTGGTGAATTCTCAGACTCTGGCCATTCCAACTGTTAAAGATCCAGAGTCTCTCACGGAGTCCGGGGTTTGCAGGGAAAGTCATCAGGAGTTAGAATGGACTCGATGGTTTTGTGTGCTTTGTTTTGCTTGCTTTCCCAATATGAGAAGAACCCTTAAGGTGTAAGCTCTTGGCTCAGAACTGAAAGGTTGGAGGTTCGACCCACCAGGCAGCAAACCTTTCAGGAGGAAGATGTGGCATCTGCGGCAGTAAAGAGCACAGGCTTGGAAAGTTTATGGGGCGGTTAAATCTGTCTATTGTGAGTGGCTGTGAGCTGGAATCAAATCAAAAACAATGGGTCTGGTTTTGATTATATTAGAATACGAGTCTGTACTACATGCCAAACATTAACTTAGTAACTGAGGAGTAGACTTACATTTGCTAAACCAAATTCTTCTTATAAACTATGTATGTATTAGAAACACTCAAATTACACTTTGTAACCCTCTTGATGAAAGAGAACCTGGTCTTTTTCTTTTTTAGTGGTAGAGTTATGAAGTTCCTTCTCCATCTAAAAGTCTAAATATTGAGACTAGATACTAAAAGTGCTTGTTACCTTTCGGACAGGTGGTTTCGTTATGATATCTTCAAAATTATCTTCTATTTTTAATGACTGGAAATTTTCATGTAATATTCCTATTTTCTTATCATTATCCCACCCTGCCGGACTGAAAAGAAATGCATGGTAAACTTTAAAGCATTATACAGGTATGTAATAACTCAATCCACACTTACATAAACCAGTTTGACAAACCACGCAAAACTAATCAGCTTTTCAGTGCAATGCCCGAGTAATGCTTACTAATTATGTACTTAAAATGATTATACCAATTTTCTTGATAAAAGAAGATGCCATTAGAGGTTTTTCAGGAGAAGGGAGTAATTATTACTTCTGAATTTTATTAAGATAACATAATCATTATATTGCAATATAATATAGCAATCTATATTACACATCAGGTTACACATATTATCAATTAAAGGATGAACAGCTATGATATACCGACATACACTCAACAAGTGTTTTACGAAACTGGCAGACTTTTCGGTAAAGGCTTGGGCCAACTGTGAGACTATAAGGCAATGGTAAATAGATCAAAGTAGATAAAAAATATAAAAATCTAGGAAGAGATTCTCATCTATTCAATGTGGTAAAGTCTACTGATCTCATTCCAAGACTGGAAAAGTGAGGACACAGCAAATAGTAGTAGCATCAACACATGACTACATTATAAAACATTTAAGGGGTGTAATGAGACTTAGTTACTAAGGGGTTGACGTTGTTGTTAAGTGCCGTCGAGTCACAGGCGACTCATAGTGACCCTATGAAGGAGAGTCCTCGACACTTGGGTGCCTTTCATCCTCTCTCCAGGTTCACAGGGTTTCCGAGGCAAGCTGTTATGGAAGTGGATGCCACTCCTCCTTCCAAGGGGGGTTGACATTAGACATTATAATTAATAATATTAATCAATGATAATTAATGTTATAAAATAAAATGTATATGTATGATCCGTGAAACTGTAATTACAATGTTATAAAACAAAATGTATTATGAATGAAAGTCATATAATCTACAAACTCTGATTCAAAATAAATAACTGAAAGAAGAAAAGACTGTACTTACATAAATACAGCATCTTTTTCCACAACAACAGCAGGAATCTTATAGGGAAATCCATATAGTTTCTGGACAATGTATTTATATACTAAATCTATATTTTTGTTTTCCTTTACTGAAGTGTAAATAAGTGCTGCACCATCTGAGTAATAGCAGAAATTAAAGAAAATTTTGGACAAATTTCATGAATAGACACCACAAAGTTGTGTTTTAAATTTTTAAAATTTTCATCTACATGTTTATTAGCTTAAAAAAAAGAGGTGGTGGCCTAGTGGCAAGAAGCTGCACTGCGATCCCAGAGGTGAGCAGTTCAAATCCACCAGATGCTCTGCTGGAGAAGGAGGAGCAATCTCCTCCTGTACCAGTCAGATGCGATTTGACGATACACACACAAAAGTAATCCAATAAAACAAACGAAGCCCAGTTATTTTATAGCATAATAGGGATTTTTTTTTTAAAAAAAAAGCATAAAATACTTAAACAGCAGTTAAAATACAAGTAAAACAATTCTGATGTAATAGATTTCATTTAGGAGGATGAGACTGTCATTAAGCCAAGAGAGCAAACAGACATTAACACCAGAAGGAGTTTACATTTCTAATACGGCTGTATGTAAATAAAAGAAAACAACTAAAAATGTGAAGCAGCAAAATTTTATGTCACTTTCTTATATTTCATGATTCTGTCTTTTCAACAAAAACGGCACACACGAATGTTGCCTCTTTGTTAATTGCCACTGAGCCGAGCACGACCCTATGAACAAGCTTGCAGTTGACACTAATTCTAAGCAGCAGGACTTTGGGGACAAAGCTTTCGAAACCCACTGAAAGAAGGGGACCCTAGACCCACTGATGAGAGAAGGTGAACCAGCAGCTGCCCATCAAGGATGACCTCAGGCCAAAGTAACTTTCATGACCAAGACTTGAGATAAAGTCACCTCAAATGAAGAAGTACTCGTTAAAGGACATCCTAACTTATATATTTTATCCAAAACAGATATGCTTGGTCAAAAGATCAAGAGATTTAAAAAAAAAAAAAAAGTCAAGAGCCTGTGAGGGAAAGGGGTATCGTGAGCACAAACAGACATCTTAGTCCCATGGCCACACCAAAGGTTTTCCAATTTGGGATCATCAAAATCATCCTTCTGGAATGCTTTTTAAAAATGCAGTTTCTAGGGGAGCTCTGGTGGCCTAGTGGCAAGGAGGTGCAACTACAATCCCAGAGGTGCAGGTTTGAATCCACCAGATGCTCTGCTGGGAAAGGAGGGACAATCTCCTCCTGTACCAGTCAGATCTGATTTGACGGTACACTCACACACAAAAAAAAATAAAAATTTAAAAAAATTAAAAAAATGCAATTTCTCCCTCTTAACCCCTGAATACTCCTATTTAGTAGGTCTTTGATCTGAAGTTCTGATGCATCACCAGATTTTAAACCCATTATGTTAAAATATACAAAGAGATGGTGGTAATCAACGAAACATACTCAAAATGAAAACAAAGGCTGATCTTTCTCACTCATCTCCTCACTAAAAGAATACACGACTTTTTAATCAGAAATGCTCACAAAGTCAACTCATCAGGATTTTTCATACAAGGTACTTTTTAGGCATTGTACACAGCAAACTAACAGTCTCTATTTCAAAATATCCAGATATAAATCATTTGAAACCTGAAATGAAAACTTGAGATCCAGAATGAAATTTCTGATCTGAGCCATGAAGAAAAACATTTTCTAAAGCCATCCAATTCTATTGCTACCAAATAAAGAAATAAACAAAATCAGATAAGAAACACTGCACCAACCAGTGTGTTAAAAGGATACACTGTAAACAAAACTTCCGGATATAGGACTGAATGAAATCAAAATGTTCATCCCTGTAGTCATGTTCTTTCTCCAATACACTAATGGCATCACACTGTTGAGGTAAAACAAGGAAAAAGAGAAAGGTTAAATAGTCAACAGAAAGTTACTTGAATAAATCAGTTTTGGATGGGCAAACTGAAAAATGAGACAAAATATTAACCACTCCAATCTAAAGATTTTTGGTGGAACAGATGTCGTTTCCAGATTAAAAATGTGATGAATCAATACCTAATTTGATACTGACCTTGTACATTTTATTATTTTCTCTGGGAAATAAGATTGCTATTTCCAAGTGAGTTGTAGGAAAATTGGAAAATATCTGTAAATGAGCAGCTTTTTTTCAAACAAAATAAGTCACATGCAGAAAGATTCCAGTATGAACTTTACTGATTAATTTTACTCTAAATGCTATAAAAATGATGTTTTAAAATTCTGTGTCTTTTTATTTTTGTGTGGAAATTTAAGATGTTACATAAAACATAATTCTAAGTCTCAAATGGGTAAACAGACTGTCATTGTCTTACTAGTCAAAGAATTACAAACAGTGAAGACACAGCACTTGGACAATAAGAGAAGATCAACTATCAATTATTCCTAAAGAAATGTTGTCTTTTAGTTACAAAGTAATGACAGAGTAACCAAACTTTGATAATCATGATTCTATCAGAATATGTTTCAAAAAAGGAAATGTATAATGATAACAGTTGTACAGCATGGTTAATATAATGATGTCACTTAATTACACACATGAAATGGTTGAAATGGTACATATTTGGTTATATACTTCACTACAATAAAACTTTATGAAAAAATTAAAATTCAGTGCTGAAAATATTTAATTAGCTACCAAAAGCTAAAACTATCATTTTGGCTAAAAAAAAGTCCTATTCTTCTTGTTGATTACTGCTGAGCTGAGCATGACTTAGAGTGACCCTACAAACAAAAGGCCTGAAGACTTTCTATAACTACCAACATTTATAGAGTTTCCAGAGGCATGTTGTTTAGGAAGCAGATGCCACTACTGCTTCCAAACTTCATAAACTGGGCGCTCCAAACACTGTCCACCATGGATAACCGTTAAGGCATTTGAAACCCAAATGGCACAAGGTTCGGCACACAGCAACCCCAGGTTACCTCAGTACAGCATTTTAAGAGTGCTGTACCACTTAAAAGAATGTTCCTCCAAAATATAATAAAAACCAACATTAAATATAAAGGTCCTCCCTGAGGTCTTGTCGACTCTAGACATGAGGCTTAAATAAAAAACAACCAATATAGTATGTTGCTGTTATGTGCTGTTGAGTCGCCTGTGATGTATAGTGACCCTGTGTACAGCAGCTCTGAACCCCTCCCTGTCCCGAGCCAGTCTCACTAACTCTGACACACCAACCCCCACTGCGCCAGATACTGTATCGGTCCATCTCTTCCAGGGTTTTCCTCTCCTGCACTGTCCCTCTACCCTCCCAAGCATGATGTCCTTCTCCAAGGACCAGTCTCTCCTGGCCATGTGCCCACAGTATGTGAGGCAGCGCTTCATAATCCTAGCCTCCAAAGAGAGACTTGGTTTCACCCTCTCCAAAGCTGAATAATAAACTATTATTGGACGATGACATCTACTTAGAATGAGAAAAACAAATCATGCAAAAAATCTGAAATACTATTTTCTTTCCAAGGAATTATTAAGATCACAAGATCAACATGTCAATAGTTTAAACTATATTTAAAAAAAAAATCTAGGAAAACTATTATGTGTGTTCTAAGAAAAAGCCTGGAAGACAAAAACAAATGTTCCCTCTCAGCGACCAGAGGCAGCAGGATCTCTCAGGAGCAAACTCACCTTTGTGCAAACAACCAGGACTGGAATGCCCAAGTTATGCGTGAGCGTATCCGCGCCCAGAGGTAAAACCACACTCTCGTCTCGGTCTTCCTGGGACATGGTGTTTCTTCTCTGAGGGGAAGCTGGGAATTCTTCTCCTGGCTCTACGTATTCCTGGAAGTCTCTAATGACTGAAAATCAAAGAATTTAATACATAGTTCAGAGAACAGCTTTATTTAAGTAGATCTAATTCTCTGCCATTGTCTAAACATACACTTCACTTATTTTGGAATAAGAGAAGAAAAACAGACTGGGAAGTGTCCCTCGGGGACAGGACAGACACTGGACCCACACTGAGTGTCAGGAGACACAGGACAGCTCTGGGGGGCTATGCAGGGGAGCTCTGACCAGGCTTGATCCAGTCTGTGCAAGTCAAGCTGCTTTTGTGCTTCAACTTCATAAAAGGCTGAATTAGAAGAAAAGAAAGCAAGTTCTAAACAAAGCCCTGTCCCCTTCCCAAATAACTAATAATAATTTAAAACAGTTCTGGATTTTTAATATGAGAACTTCTGAGTCAGGTCTCTTTATTTCTGCCAAGGAGCCCTGATGGCAGTGATTAAAGTACGTGGCTCACAGGTCAGCAGTTTGAGGCCACAGGAAACCATGCGAAAAGATGAGACAGTCTGTTTCTGGAAAGATCTTGAGCCTTAGAAACTCTCTGGGCGGTTCTACTCTGACCTGCTCAGTTCTCATGGGCACAAACCACTGCCATCAGGTGGCTTTGGTTTTTTTTCCCTTTCTAGTGAGGTTCAATCTCAGACCATGTTCATTTTGTATCCCTGGTAGGAATTCTACTACCAATGTTAATAAAAGGTCAAATGTCTTTTCCAAGCTTGCTTGAAGCTTCACTTTAAAGAAGTAAAAGTAAACATGCATGTTGTAAGCGACCTTAATGGATACTCTGAACATAAATTATTCTAAGAATCTTAAGGAAATAATCAATGATAGGTACACACAAAGAAATATGCATTTAGCACCATTTATCATATTTAAAAGCAAAACAACAAATGTGAAAAGAATTTACATAATCCAAAGCATTGAATCAAAAAAAGGCATCTGAAGGAAACAAAAAATGTTCAGAGGGGAAGGCGAGGGAACCCAACAAAATCAACCCTGGCAAACGAAGGCCTAACTCCACCTTAGAAATGAAAAGGAATATACTGGGCGGGGGAACACAATTACTTTTAATTTCCACAATTAGAAAAAAGTCAATAACGCTGGGTCAGATCCTCTTGAGAATACGGAGACTGAGCTGTTTTGTGGGGGTGCCTTAAGCATCTTAAGCATGTGGGTCCTGAGCAGAGGAGTGTTTCCTCCAGGATCATGGGGCACACACCACAGCAGTGCTTTTAGCTACGACCTTCACATCAGCGGCTGCAAACAGTGGTTCTCAACCCTCAATAGGCACCAGAATCCGTCCCATCAACCCCAGGAGTTATAACCCAGGAGCTGGGGTGACGCATAGGAGGCTTCACTTCTGACAAGTTCTCATCTGATACTGGTGGTTGAGGAACCACACTGGAGAGCTACTGTTCTAGTATATAAACTTGGATAAAGAAGGGAAAATCTCACGGATGCTTTTTCAGTGAATTAGGACACATAATTTCTATTATTTCTTTCATGTAATTCCTGGGAATATAAATTTTTATCTAAAAATCATTTCAATTAAGAATAACAAAGTAACATTTCATCTGCATTATATATTTTTAAGCAGATACATCATTTGCAAATGAAAAGTACTCAGTAAAACTTTCAGATGTGACTAGCTCATAAAACTTGTTAAATATGAACCATATCCTTTTCATAGTATTCATGAAAATTTCCAATCCAAGGGCACACATAAAATAGAAAAATATAAATCTCCAAACTATGATAACCTCTTCATGCGTTAACATTCTAGCAGAAATATTTAATTTTTACAAGGCTGGTAAGATCACTTATCAAGAAATAAAGAGGTTAAAAAATGAACAGCTGAAGACACTAATTTTTGTTAACCCCAAAAACTTACTTTCCAAAATGAACACACATAGCTCTTTGGCACAGAGAACGCATACTTGTTTAAATATGCCTAACAGATATACATATTTTTATGTTAAAGCTATATTGAAATCTAGCACGCCAATACACTGAATTTCAAAGAGGTCATATTATGTTTCCTTTATGAAACGTTATTCATAGTTTAAAAAAAATGCCTAAATTTATTATTAGCAAAAGGTACTGTGTCTGAAATGTACGTTAATATTTCCAGATTACTCACGCTTCTGTTCCATTTCTTTCATCTCCTCAGGAGGAATTTTCAGTTTGTCAATATGTTCTCTAACAACACTTGCCCATTTCTGCAAAGAATCCAAGGCAGTCCAAGGCTTTGACATGTCAACAACCAGCATCACCAGGGTGTCCTTCAGAGAGACGGCTTCGAGGGAGAACTTGAGGAGGCCTTTGTGGTGCAGATCCCCGTCCAAGATCCAGACATTACATCTTGTCTGATCTGCAACAGACAAGAGAGAGTTACCAAGGCAACTGGATTGTGGGGTGGACTGGTTTTTTTCTTCCACCATCCAACTAACACTACTTGTTATTTTAGGGCATCTCCACAGGAGATGTCTACTGGCTTTGACAGGAACCAACTATTAGGTCACATCTACTAAAAATATTCCTGAAAATGATTTCATGCCAACCACAGCACCAGCATCCTCTACTTCATACCTCTCAATCCAATCCAGAGACCGCATAACATATTTATAGTCTTACCATCAGCAGATATAGTCTTACCATCAGCAGACAGGGTCATGCATATTCAAGATAATATATACAGAAAAGAGAAGACAAGTGATCTAGAGAAGAAAACGTGGCTGATCAGATGAGAAAAGCTGCGAGGAGATGACATTTTCACTTTAAAACTGAGAAGGGGAAAGGGAGTCAGTGCACACAAGCACACAGCATTTACAGTGTGCGTGCAGTATTACTTCACTTATGAAAAGAGAATGAAATATTCATTCATAATGAAACCAAAGCTGGACTACTCCAATATGTTTACAAGTATCATTCTAAATTTCAATCTCAAACAAATAAAAAAAAGCCTAAACAAAGTATTTCCTGAAAGACATGGCACAGCGGACCCCAGTGCAAACCAACAACGGTGAGTCAAAGAAAATCGTTTGCAGCAGCGCCAGCACAGCCTCGGGACCAGGCGGCTGCCTCCACGCACCGTCCCTGTCCTCATCGTGCACATTCAGGTACAGATACTCCAATCCTCTTCCTTTCTTGTATTCCTCTAGGCCTTGCATTTTTCTTATTAAACTTGTTTTCCCAGCTCCATCTTCACCTGAAAGCACAAGAAAACAGGGTGGAAATAGGTTTTCAATTATAATATGGATTAGTTAGCATGATGTCTGGTATCTAGAGGAAAGCCAACTGGAGTGACTGTTAATCAAAAAGGTGGCAGATAATGAGAGTCGTGGAGTCCACCGCCACCAGGATTCACCGAGCCTCTGCTCTTCTTGTTAAATCACATTTCACACTACCTATCACAGGCAGCTTCCTCTGTGGGTATTTTTCAGGATCTGGGTCCACAGCAAATGGTTTTGTATTCAACTCTCAATCCAACAATGCAGTTTAAACGCATCATTGTGTTGCATGAGAAAGGCCTGGCACTATGCCTCTGGAAATTCAACCCAATTCACTGCTGTGGCATCCGCACCGACACACACCTGGGTTGCCAAGGCTGTAACTTACAAGGGAGGAGAGTGCTCATCTTTCTCCCTCCCGGGCACTGGTGGTCGCTTCAAACCACCAGGGACGTGTCATCTTTGGGTTAGCAGTTAAGATCTCCATGGACTCGCCAGAGAGAGAAAGAGTGTAAGGCCAAGTGGGAAATTATAGCTACTGCAGAGAGAGAGAGAGAGAGAGAGAGAGAGAGAGTGTGTGTGTGTGTGTGTGTAAAGCCAAGTGGGAAATGACAGCTACTGCATGTTCCATCCAGATTTTATCCTCGTTTACCTTATGAGGAATAAGATTCTCTTCCCTTTTGGCTTTCAGTATAAAGAATTTCAGAAAAAGAGGTTGTTGTGTTTTTTTTTTTAAATTGGCCAAGACCAGTCGAGAACATCAAGTATTTATTGAGCACCCCACCACGCTCGACTGCCCTCCTAGTGTGCCTCTGCAGCCTCCCATGTTTTTTGCAGCCCCTCCTGTGAGGCAGGAGCTGGTGTCAGCCCCATTCTGCAGGTGAGGAGCCTGAGGCACAGAGAGGTCAGAAAAAGACTCTTTAATTCAGTTGAAGTGGGCCAATGTACACTCATGGACCAATCTCATCGGGGACCATCCTGAAGGTTCGACAGGACTGATTAGGGCAGAGAATTGTGACTGCAGCATTAATAACAGGAAGCTACTGAAGGAAGGGCGAAAAGTCCCATACATGCATGACGATCACAAATATTCATGCTCCACGTACAACCTGAAAAACCCAACAAAAGGTCGATTCCAACTCCATGGAAATGTCAACGGAGAGATGCAAGTCGCTAGGATGCTGAATAGGCTTTAGTGGAGTTTCCAGGGTAAGACTAGGAAGAAAGGCCTGGCGGTCAAGTTCTGAAAAGCAGCCAGTGAAGAAAACCCTGAGGATCACACCATCGGAGGCAGACTGTGAGGTGGTCCCAGGGTGGGGACTAGGCTACTCTGCTGTGCATGAGACTGTGATGGGTGTCAACACCAATAGAAGCAAAAGAAAGGAACACATCAGGAAGCCTGCCCTAATTCAAGAGTCTGGCTTTGCCTGGACATAGAAAGGCCTTTCCTGAGAAGGCAACTGACACTAGGCCAAATTTTGCAAAGTTAATGGAGCATGGAGTTAGTCATTCTAGCTGGCAAGGAAAACATGCAAGGAAAAGAGGCCTGAGGGGAAGCTTTGGGGAAGGACAAATAAGGCATGAGGAGGTAAGGAAACAGAGGGTGAGAACGTAAAGGGAAGGGCAATCACTGAAGGGTGTTTCACACCAGGACTAGTGAGGCGTTATCCTAAAGATGGTGGAGTTTAGGCATTCTGGAAAGATCACTGGAGAAGTGTGGAAGACTGACTGACTGGGTTGAACCTGGGAGTAAGGAAGACTGGACAGTGAACTATTTACATGACTAGAGGAAGAAACAAGGCCTGAACCAAGGCACCAGCAGTGGGGCTTGTGGACAGATGGCTGAGCTGACCGGGGGATGACACAGCACAGATAGGGTGGACTCCTTCCCACTTAAAGCAGGCACCTCATTTCAAATCACCACCTCAGACCTTCTCGGCTTATTTTCCTCCAGTGAACTTCTAACACAAAGTGTATGTAACTATTTCCCTTTCCCCCTCCCAAAAGCATGATGTAGGGAACAGGAATTTTTGTCTGGGTTTCCCCCCCCCCTATAATTATATTTTATTAATTTTCATAAACATTTACAGAGATTTTGGGTTTCCATTCATTCATTGTTGCACTATTCGAATTTTTGTCTGTTTTGTTCAATGTTGTTATGTGTTCTCAGTGCGTAGAAAGTAGCTGTTACTAAAGTCCTTATTAAGTTTGTTCCTTTCATGGTAAAATACATATATTCCTAAACACCCCACAGGAAAGTCACCAGCAACTTTGTCTTAAATAACAAGTCCGGCTGACTCAATCACAGCACAGCAGGACCTGCGTGAAGGACACACGTTTTGTCCCCAGATCCACTCAGGAAGGAGACTTGATGTGGGAGTTGGCCTGTTTTGCCACCCTCCTACCCCTACTGGAAAACAGAGATCTCACTGCCATCGCTAAAGGAGGGCTACAAGTGCAGACTGTGGCCTGAGGTCCCTGTCACGCTGGAGACGTGATGCGTGGTGGCCACAGCAGGGGCAGCAGCCCTAGGGGGTGACTTGAGACAGTGCCGTGCTGCCAGTCTCCTCCCTGTCTAAGCTCCGTGATTAAGCTGGGCAACTTCCTTTAAGTGGTGGGCACATTCCTAACGTTCTGGTTTTACCTGAAAGGTCAGAAAAAGACATTTTACTGTACTGATAATTTCTTTTTTACTGGACTTTTAAATGATAATAATTCTATCTTAACATTCAGAACCTATGGATTTTAGGCCAAATTTTAGGACACTTTAACTTGAAAAAGAGCATACTGTCAACGACATACGAGATAGGAACGCCCTTCCTACTCTGCGCCCTAGAAATCTCTCACCTCTGGAATCCGGTTAGAAGTGGTCATGTTGAGAACAAAGGGTGTTTCATAAACAGGCGCTGCAGTTAATAAATGAGGCCGCTCACCAAAAGGTAGTTCAGCCCTTCAGCCGCTCCACGCACGGCCGACGCAGCAGTCTGCTTTTGCGGAGAGCTACAGCTTGGGGTCTGCAGACAGATCTACAGCCTCGGAAACTGGGGCACTTCAGTCTATCTGCAGGGGCACGCCGAGTGGGGCTCGACTTGAGGGCAGAGGGATTTCTGAGGCGCCCAAGTGGCATTCCCCAGGCTTAAATCTGAGGAAACTTGAGGCAGGCTACCATCACAGAAGCTGGTGGGAGCAGGACAGGAACCCGTCTCCCAAGAGAACCCAAGCCCACTTAGCTCTCAGGCACAAATGGAATGAGAAGAAACAGTCTTCATCTTAAAAGTAACAGTGCTTGGCATAGAGAAGGTTCTCGAAAAAGCTAAGTACTGTGCTTACTCAAACAAAATATTTTGGGGAGGCAAAGTTCTATCACCTACTCTCCTCCTCCTCTGCCATCTGTCATTCTTAGAAGTCAGAGTTGGTTGAATACAGAATCTTCCTTTTACACTGATTTTAAGCCTTTCCTTCTTGTCACTGGTGGTTTTAAACCTCCATTGTAATTACTATTTTCTGTAGTTTTAACTTTCTCCACATCTAAATTCATTCCTACACAATTTGGCTTGATGGCAAACGTGGACATATGGAAATAGATCTACTTCAAAAGTCTTAAAGGTCAATGAAGAAAAAGGTCTTATAAACAAACAAAAAAAAAATTTTTTTAACCTATTTCAAGGATGCCGAAAGACAAATTGGTGCCTTTGAACTATGGTGGTAGAGAAGTGTACGGAATATCCCGTGGACTGTCAAAAGAACAAATAAGTGTCTTGAAGAGGGTGCAGCCAGTCTGCTCCTTGGAGGCACAGACCATAAAGCTTCATCTTACATACTTCAGGCATGTTATCAGGAGAGACTATTCCTTGGAGATAAGACATCATGCTTGGAAAGATAAGGGCACGACAAAGGAAAGACCCTCAACCAGGTGGATACAGTGACTGGCAATGGGCTTCACCTGATGGCACCTGACAACAACTACTTCTTTTGTTGCTGTTTTGTTTCTTTTATAACAACAACTATTTTAAGGAATCTTACTGGAGGTTATTTTTTAAAAAAATGTAGCTATGATCTATTTATGAATGTCAACCTTTCAGTATATTATATGTGAGAATGTTATCCTTGTATTTTTTTTTATTATTTTTGTGTGTGTACCATCAAATCGGATCTGACTGGTACAGGAGGGGACTGTCCCTCCTTCTCCAGCACAGCATCTGGTGGATTTCAACCTATCCTTGTATGTCTTTGTGTGAAAACTTTTATTAACCTAGTCCTGTCCCCCAAATTCTCATCTTTTCCCCTATGTCACTCCCTAAGTTTATGGGTTATTGTTGCTAGTGGTCTCTGTTAATTCCCATTTATAATGACCCAGGTGTACAGAGCAGGAATGCCCCCAGGATATTCAAGGAAGTAGATGGGATGACCAGATCTATCACCCAAGGAGCTCTGGTGTGGGTCCAACCTATCAATCTTTTTTATTATAATTGAGTGCTTAATTGTTTGCACCACCCAAGGACTCCATTAAATTCCCATTATTCTCAGATTCATTTCCATCATAAAGCAAACAAGATGCTGAAATAATATCATAATGAACATCCTTCCTAAAACCCTTTGCTATTCCAGTTAACACTATGCAAAGGTAGTATTTAAAGGAAAATGTTTGATACAACTTATCTTGAAATGCATCAAGAAAATGGATCACATTTTGATACACACATATGTATAAAAGCAAAGAGCTAAATATTAACTGCAGACTCTAGGTTGGGCAGGTAAGTATGTATCAACTTTTCTGTCCATGTTTGAAATGCTTCCTAAGTCAGAAAGAGGCCCCTCTGGAACTCTGCTCTCCTGCAGCAGTTGGGTTTTGTTGCTATGTGTGCTGTCCAGCTAAAACCGACTCAAAGCTGACCTTCCAGCTGGTTTCCAGAGGCTGTAATGGGACAGGAGACCGTCCATGTCTCCCGTTGCTGTGAGGTAAACTGCAATGGTCACA